AAAGTAGTCTCCTTTTTTCATATGTCACAAGACATAACTCTCCCAGCCTTTTTTCTTAACCCATCATCTCCCCTAGAAACTGCCCTTCACTCCTTAGATGTCAAAAGAGCTCTCTCCTTTTATTTCCATAGGACATCTACATATAGAAAATCCCCTAAGCTCTTTTTAAAATACAGGAAAGACAAATTAGGCTACCCTGTTACCTCTCAAGGGTCAGCCCCTTGGAGTGTCTCAACATTCCGCCTAGCCTACCAATTGACAGGCAAAGATCCACCTACTCACCTGGTGGCCCATTCAACTTGCTCTGTGTCCACCTCCCAGGCTTTTTGGCGATGAGTGTCTCGTGAACAGATCTGCAAAGCAGCTACCTGGTCTACACCATCTATTTTTCCTTCTCACTACAAGTTGGACATACAAGCGAAAAAGGACGCCGCCTTTGGCAGAGCTGTTCTCTTTTCCTGTGTGGCATGACCCACCTCCAGGCCAGTAGCTTGCTAAGTCACCCATAGGTGCGCATTTCACAGATGACACGACGAGGAAATATAGGTTGCTTACCTGTAACCGTATTTCTTCGAGTGTCAATCTGTGAAATTCGCACAACCCGCCCGTCCTCCCCACTTGTCATGCCTCTAACCTGGCTGCTGTTTAGCGCCGGGGAACTACCGGCCAAGCCGCATTTGGCGGCATATATACTGGGGGGGCGGGGGATGGGCGGGGCTTACATATATTCTTAAAATAATCATTAAAAAATTGATTAAAACTCTAGAATGTTCCGGATTGCTGCGCAGGCGCACAGGAAAACCCATAGGTGCGAATTTCACAGATTGACACTCGAAGAAATACGGTTACAGGTAAGTAACCTATATTTATTATTATTATTATGTTTATAATACTGTATAACACTTTTTTTGTTCCTGCATTATAAAAATGTCATTTCCTCATTGGTTCTATCATAAACACATGGGGAAAGTTTAGTAAACTGCAAAATAAAATACAGCAAAACATTTAAAAACACTTGAAGCAATATCACCATTTTTAAACCACGCTATCCATAAGCATAATCCAGGTCATTCCAATAGTCCTTGCACATAATTCTATATCTGTTTATTGCAAAATTTCTCCAAAGTCTTGATCAAAGAGCCATGTTTTGACTCTCTTGCGCAGTGGTTCTCAACCTGGGGTCCCCAGATGTTTTTGGCCTACAACTCCCAGAAATCCTAGCCAGTTTACCAACTGTTAGGATTTCTGGGAATTGAAGGCCAAAAACATCTGGGGACCCCAGGTTGAGAACCACTGTTCTTCCGGAAGGTCAGGAAAGAGGGGGCTGATCTAACATCCCTGGGGAGGGAATTCCACAGCCAAGGGGTCACCACTGAGAAGGCCCTGTCTCTCGTCCCCGCCAGTCACACCTTGCGAAGGAGGCGGGACTGAGAGCAGGGCCTCCCCAGAGGATCTTAAACTCTGAAATGGTTCATAGGAGGAGATCCAGGTAAGCTGGTTTAGGGCTTTATTGATAATAATAATAATAACTTTATTTTTATACCCTGCCAACTATCTCCCCTAGGGGACTCGGGGTGGCTTACAAGGGACACGCCCAAGATTACAATTAAAACACACATGTAAAACACTTTAACCAATTAAAACATCAGATAAAACAAATAACAACACAATTGAAAGCAATATAAAAACAATACGGCTGAAAGAAACATAGCTGAGGTACAGATTCAATGAGTGCAATACATTTTTATAGGAGCGCAGCAAAGTGCAACAATACAGTAAACTGGGCAGGAAATATGAATGTTAATATTAATAATAACAATATAAATGTTAATAATATTAGCAATGATAATAATAAAAATGTTAATGTTAATAGTAATAATATATATGTTAATCATATTTAAAAATATAAATATGAATACTATTTAGTAGTAATATATATGTGTTCATAATAATGTAAATGTTAATATTAATCATAGCAATATAAATGTTAATAATATTTAGTCGTAATAATTATTATACATGTATATTTATTGCCCGCCTCTCCTTACGACTCAAGGGGGGGAACAACATAGCTAAAATACAACATAATATAAAAATACATTCCATAAAAGCCCCTATTAAAACATACACATATTAAATGACATGGGATAAAAATTAAAACAAGAAACTGGGAATGGGATTTTGAAATTCGTAGTTGAAATGGACTTCTGTGCCATTTTCCTCTCTTTAAGTGAGACTGAAAACACCACAAATTGCAAACATTTGTGAAAAGCAAAGAGTTCCAGTTGCATGAAAGCATTAAAAGCTGTTTCAACAATCAAAACATGAAAGGCCTTCGCCTCCTGGAAGTGTTATATTCAAATGCGCTCAAAGCTTTGAGTGACAATGACTTGTACAAATATCATAAGCATCCCTTTGATCTAAATGCCCTGAGAACTTTATATTCCCTTTTCAATATTTCATGACTGACATCTGTTGCTGGGGGAGAGGAGCTAAGAAGTATAGCTGAATGAAGGGGACATGTATTATTGAATGGAGCCCAGAGGTCGCTTTTTCTTCCCGTCAATGGTGACGATCCAAGGGCTTTATATTATTAACTAGCTTTGGTGCCCAGATCTGTTTTGTAGTGCTGTGGATTAGAAAGTAGTCAATGTTTTTGAATTTTCTGGATGGTCCCATTAGAAAAGGCATAGAGATTTTGGATATGGGAGCCACCTTGGAAAATACATCCAAGCATAGATATTTAGATAGATATTTTGACTTCTATTTAGATAGATAGATAGATAGATAGATAGATAGATAGATAGATAGATGATAGATAGATATTTGAACTTTACACAGATAGGACTGAGAGGGGGAGGGGGAGAGAGAGAGATTGGACTTTCAATAGATAGTACAGATAGATAGATAGATAGATAGATAGATAGATAGATAGATAGATAGATAGATAGATAGATAGATAGATAGATATTTGGACTTTCAATAGATAGTACTGATAGATAGATAGATAGATAGATAGATAGATAGATAGATGATAGACTTTCAATAGATATAATAGATAGTTATTTGACTATAGTTAGATATTTGGACTTTAGATAGATAGGACTGATAGATAGATAGATAGATAGATAGATAGATAGATAGATAGATAGATAGGACTTTCAGATAAATAGATATTTGGATTTTACATAGATAGTACTGATAGATAGATAGATAGATAGATAGATAGATAGATAGATAGATAGATAGATAGATAGATAGATATTTGGACTTTCAATAGATATAATACATAGTTATTTGACTATAGTTAGATATTTGGATTTTAGATAGATAGGATTGATAGATATTTGACTTTAGATAGATAGATTGATTGATAGGACTTTTAGATAGATAGATTTTTGGATTTTCGATAGATAGAATAGATAGTTATTTGACTATAGTTAGATATTTGGACTTTAGATGGATAGGACTGATAGATAGATAGATATTTGACTTTAGATAGATAGATAGATAGATAGATAGATAGATAGATAGATAGATAGATAGGACTTTTAGATAGATAGATATTTGGACTTTTGATAGATATAATAGATAGTTATATGACTATAGTTAGATATTTGGACTTTAAATAGATAGGACTGATAGATATTTGACTTTAGATAGATTGATAGGACTTTTAGATAGATAGATATTTGGATTTTACATAGATAGTACTGATAGATAGATAGATAGATAGATAGATAGATAGATAGATAGATAGATAGATAGATAGATAGATATTTGGACTTTCAATAGGTAGTACTGATAGATAGATAGATAGATAGATAGATAGATAGATAGATAGATAGATAGATATTTGGACTTTCAATAGATATAATAGATAGTTATTTGACTATAGTTAGATATTTGGACTTTAGATAGATAGGACTGATAGATAGATAGATAGATAGATAGATAGATAGATAGATAGATAGATAGATAGGACTTTCAGATAGATAGATATTTGGATTTTACATAGATAGTACTGATAGATAGATAGATAGATAGATAGATAGATAGATAGATAGATAGATAGATAGATAGATAGATAGATAGATATTTGGACTTTCAATAGATATAATACATAGTTATTTGACTATAGTTAGATATTTGGACTTTAGATAGATAGGATTGATAGATATTTGACTTTAGATAGATAGATTGATTGATAGGACTTTTAGATAGATAGATTTTTGGATTTTCGATAGATAGAATAGATAGTTATTTGACTATAGTTAGATATTTGGACTTTAGATGGATAGGACTGATAGATAGATAGATATTTGACTTTAGATAGATAGATAGATAGATAGATAGATAGGACTTTTAGATAGATAGATATTTGGATTTTACATAGATAGGACTGATAGATAGATAGATAGATAGATAGATAGATAGATAGATAGATAGATAGATAGATAGACAGACAGACGACAACAGATATGTGAATAGATAAATATTTGAGGATAGATAGGTAGATAGAAAGATAGATAGATAGATAATTAGGACTTATAGCTAGGTAGGTAGGTAGATATCTGTTCCATAGATATTTGACTAGATAGATAGATATTTGGATTTTTGATAGATAGATAGAACTGAGAGATATTTGACTTAAGATAGATAGGACAGATAGATAAATATCTTGATGATAAATAGACATTTGGGGATAGATAGATAGACAGATAGATATTTGACTTTAGATAGACAGATAGATGGATAGAGCTCTTAAAGTCCCTGATGATATCTGTGGCTCTGCTGTGGATCTAAATCTGGTCCAACTGTGTCGTGGGATGGAGTTATGTGGGAACGTGTCGTCCTTGTCTATCCCGTAAAAGTTTGCCTGGGATGGGAATCGATCCGGGAAGCCCCGGTGATGCCTTTTTGTGATGTGCCGTTGATGCCTCTCCCCGGTCCCTCGGCTGAGGCTGCGTTAACCTTTCCGCTGTCCTTCCGTTACACAGTTTGAAGCCTCTTCGGTCTTTCTTTTCTTCCTATTTAAAGTCTCTCCCCGGCGTCCGGCAGAAGTCGCCCCCGCAGCTCCCAACGCCGGCCGGGCGAAACGGAGAGGGTGACACGGGCGTCAAGGAATGGAAAGACTTTGATCCGTGAGTGCCCTTCAGTGCTTGTGCGCTTCCATTACAGCCCGCCCCCGAGTGACAAAAATCCATCTTACAAATAGAAGTACCCGAAATAAATAAATAAATGACTTCTAGTTAAGAATGGGGCTGAGACAACAGGAAGAGAGAAGGAATCTGTCCCTCAGAAGTGAAATCCACTCCTGGAAGAGTGATTATCAGAGGCGAAAGGGGTCTCCACTGAAGCTTCATCAATTCTTGTTTCCACAAACAAGCTACATTTTCCAAAATTCAAAGGTTACAGGGACAGAAAGTGAGGTGAAATATTCTGAACAGGCAGACAGACAGACAGACTGATATTAGCTCTAATAGATATTTGGATTTTTAGATAGATAGTAGATAGATATTCAGACTGATATATATAGATTTTTGGACTAGAGAGAGAATTATTTGGATGGATGGATGGATGGATGGATGGATGGATGGATGGATGGATGGATGGATGGATGGAGAGAGACATATATATTTGGACTTTTAGATAGATGGATGGATCGATTGATCGGTCGGTGGGTCGAGTAGTTGGATAGATATAAGATAGATTTAATATATATATTGGAACTGATAGATTTTTGGACTGTAGATAAATAGATATTTGGATGTCAGATAGATAGAACTGGTAAATATATAGATATTTGGATAGATAGATAAATAGATAGATAAATAGTCAGATATTTGAACTTTAGATAGATAGATAGATAGATAGATAGATAGATAGAAGATACATAGATAAATGCATAGATACATAGATAGATAGATGTTTGGACTGATAGATACATATTTGGATGGATGGATGGATGGATGGATGGATGGATGGATGGATAGATAGATAGATAGATAGATAGATAGATAGATAGATAGATAGATAGATAGATAGATAGATAGATATTTGTTCTGATAGATATATAGACAGACAGACAGACAGACAGCAGATAGATAGATGGACAAATCGATAGACAGACAGACAGACAGATAGATGGACAAATAGATAGATGGATAGACAGACAGACAGATATTTGGTCTGATAGATATATAGATAGACAGCAGATAGATAGGATAGATGGATGGATGGATAGATAGATAGATGGACAAATAGATAGATGGTCAAATAGATGGATGGATGGATGGATGGATGGATGGATGGATGGATGGATGGATGGATAGATAGATAGATAGACAGATAGATAGATAGATAGATAGATAGATAGATAGATAGATAGATATTTGGACTTTTAGATAGATGTTTGGACTTTACATAGATATAGATATTTGGACTTAGAGATGTTGACTTCTAGATAGACCATATTGGGGGAAATGGCCAGCCCTGTTGTCAAGCAGACATGGTTTCCAAAGTGTTTCTCTTGCGTTCCCTTCCAGATCCAAGCTGTACATGGCCGACCTGGAGTCGGGCCTGCATTACATGCTGCGGGTGGAGCTGGCCACTCACAAGACCCTCGAGGGCACCGAGCTGCGGACCTTCAAGAGCCTCATCGCGCTCCTCGCCAAGGTCAGTACTGGGCTTTTGGGTATTCATGATGCAATTCTTTGTCCCGAAAAGGGAGGGACATTGAACCCCCAAAGGCGAGCATTAGATCCGAGTCAATAGTGGGCTTTGAACTCCATTTCTGCTGTTGAGAAAAGCCACAGATCCTTCTCAGGAGGAAATGCGGAGGAGTGACGTCCCCTCTTTCTTGTCCCCTCGGCTTTTGCGGGATTTGGACACCATTTTTCTCTCGCTTGTCGATATCCGAGTGTGAAAAGCGCTCGGCCGAGGCCAGATTACGGGACGTCTTATGCCGGACTTATGCTTTTCCCCGAAAGGAGAGCACTTAAAGGCCCGCCGCTAAGTCGCCCGGACTCTCTGCTGCTCCATTTCCAGGGCAGGGCTCTTTATTGTTATTATCATTATTGTTATAGGATTAATTTCCTGGGCTGTTAATGCAGCTTTGGGGCCTTCTTAGCACTTGGCCAAAGACTCGGCTGCCACCGAGAACCTCTCTAAGTGCTCTCTGGTTGGAGTTTCTCGACGGATTTTGGCCTGGAAAATCTTCTATTCCTTATTCTCCTATACGGCGGATTGGAGCCAAGTGTCGATTCGGACCCATAAACGGCTCAGTGGGGTTTTAAAAGGGCATGCTTTATCCCACAGGATTGGAAACAGGCAGAGGCGGGTAATAAAAGCATCATCATCACTATCATTTCTTGAATATGGTTGTCCTGCTTCAAGCCGCAGGGAGAGGCGGGTGATAAAAATTATTGTTGTGTTGTTATTATTACTTATTTCACCAATTTAAGGAGCAGATTTAGTATCGATATCTATTTGTGTACTAATTGGGTTGCTGTGATTTTTCTGGGCTGACTGGCCATGTTCCAGAAGCATTCTCTCCTGACGTTTCGTCCATATCTATAGCAGGCATACTCAGAGGCTGAAGAGGGCTGGACTGGATGCCCTTTGGGAGTCTCTTCCAACTCTTCAATAGATATACCATATCATATCTATGGCTGAATGGCCATCTGTTGGAATGTGTCCTTCATGGCTGAAGGGGGTTGGACTGGATGCCCTTTGGGAGTCCCTTCCAACTCCATCATAGATATATCAGAGACATAGTGTATCCGTCAATCATATCTATGGCTAGATGTCCATCTGTCAGGAGGAATTGAATTGTGTCCTTCATGGTTGAAGGGGATTTTACTAAATGCCCTTTGGGAGTCTCTTCAAACAGTATGATAGATATACCAGAGAACATATTCTATCTATCTATCTATCTATCTATCTATCTATCTATCTATCTATCTATCATGTCTATGGCTGGATGGCCATCTGATGGGAGGGATTGGAATGTGTCCTTCATGGCTGAAGGGGGTTGGACTGGATGCCCTTTGGAGGTCCCTTCCAACTCCATCATAGATATATCAGAGACATAGTGTATCTGTCAACCATATCTATGGCTAGATGTCCATCTGTCAGGAGGGATTGAATTGTGTCCTTCATGATTGAAGGGGATTTTACTAAATGCCTTTTGGGGGTCTCTTCAAACAGTATGATAGATATACCAGAGAACATATTGCATCTATCTATCTACCTTGTCTATGGCTGGATGGCCATCTGATGGGAGGGATTGGATTGTTTCATTCATGGCTGAAGGGGGTTGGATTGGATGCCATTTGGGAGTCTCTTCCAACTTTGTGATAGATATACCAAAGAATACAGTGCATGTATTTTGTCATGTCTATGGCTAGATGGCTATCTGTTGGGAGGGATCAGATGGTGTCCTCATGGCTGAAGGGGGTTGGACTGGATGCCCTTTGGGTGTGCCTTCCAACTCTGTGAGATATACCAGAGAACATAATATATCTATCCTATCTATGGCTGGATAGCCATCTGTTGGGAGAGATCCAATTGTGTCCTTCATGGCTGAAGGGGGTTGGACTGGATGCCCATCTTTTGGGAGGGATTGGATTGTGTCCTTCATGGCTGAAGGGGGTTGGACTGGATGCCCTTTGGGGGTCCCTTCCAACTCTGTGATATATATACCAAAGAATATAGTGTATCTATCTATATCATATCTATGGCTGGATGGCCATCTTTCGGGAGGGGTTGGATTGTGTCCTTCATGGCTGAAAGGGGTTGGACTGGATGCCCTCTGGGGGGTCTATTCCTGTTTTGTAAACTAGTCCCGCTTTGGGAAGAAGAGGGTTTTTGTTTTGTTTTGTGTTTAAAGGGCCAGCGTTAGGGAGACTCGGCCTTTGTAGCGTGACCCTTGTCTCTCTCTCCCTTTTTGCGGCCAAAGCTCTTTCCGGGCCCGCAGCCCACGGTGAAGCTGCTGGAGACGCTGCACGTCTGGCTGGTGAGCCTTCCCTTGGAGAGGATCCCTTACAACGCCGTCCTTGATCTCCTTGACAACAAGATGCGGGTAAGCGGACCAGCCTTGACTCCAGCGTCATGTTTTCCTCGCGCCACAGGAAAGTCATCCAAGATGCAACACTTTCCTTTCAACCTTTCAATACACAACACACAGACATATACTTGTATACATAAATACTTTGGATAGCAAAACCTGGATAGTTTGTAGTCAATATAAACAAATCGGCTTGGACTATTATTGCAGGATTAGAGAGAGATATTGACAAACTGGAATGTGTCCAGAGGAGGATGACTCAAATGATCAAGGGTCTGGAGAACAAGCCCTATGAGGAGCGGCTTAAAGAGCTGGGCATGTTTAGCCTGCAGAAGAGAAGGCTGAGAGGAGATATAATAGCCATGTATAAATATGTGAAGGGAAGCCACAGGGAGGAGGAGGGAGCAAGCTTGTTTTCTGCTTCCCTGGAGACTAGGGCGCAAGAGAACAATGGCTTCAAACTACAAGAGAGGAGATTCCATCTGAACATGAGGAAGAACTTCCTGACTGTGAGAGCCGTTCAGCAGTGGAACTCTCTGCCCCGGAGTGTGGTGGAGGCTCCTTCTTTGGAAGCTTTGAAACAGAGGCTGGATGGCCATCTGTCAGGGGTGCTTTGAATGCAATATTCCTGCTTCTTGGCAGAGTGGGGTTGGACTGGATGGCCCATGAGGTCTCTTCCAACTCTAGGATTCTATGATTCTATGATTAGTGCTATATTTTTAACAGTTTATTTATTTATTATTATTTATTTACGGCATTTATATGCTGCCTTTCTCACCCCGAAGGGGACTCAGAGCAGCTTTCAAGATATATATATATACATACACAATATATTATATTATTAGCATAGTACAATATCAGTATTAAATATTACTATCTTGTACTATACCATTATATTGTAATATTATTAGTAATGTTACATGTAATATAAACATATAATTATAATATAATATTATTATTATATTGCATTACATTATAATATTATAAATATTATATGAATATACAACATATTATATTACATTATACTACATTACATTACATTATATTATCTTATATTATACTAGCTGTCCCCTGCCACATGTTGCTGTGGCCCACTCTGGTGGTCATGGGGGTTCTGTGTGGGAGGTTTGGCCCAATTCTATCATCGGTGGGGTTCAGAATGCTCTGTGATTGTAGGAGAACTATAAATCCCGGCAACTACAACTCCCAAATGTCGAGATTCTATTTTCCCCAAACTTCACCAGTGTTCACATTTGGGCATATTGAGTATTTGTGTAGAGTTTGGTCCAGATCCATCATTGAGTCCACAGTGCTCTCTGGAGGTAGGTGAACTACAACTCCAAAACCAAAGGACACTGCCCACCAAACCCTTACAGTTTTTTCTTTTGGTCATGGGAGAACTGTGTGCCAAGTTTGGTTCAATTCCATCGTTGGTGGGGTTCAGAATGCTCTTTGCTTATAGGTGAACTATAAATCCCGGGAACTACAACTCCCAAATGACAAAATCATAATTTTTGGAGTGATGGTCACTCCTTGTGTTGTGAGATGTGTTGTTGCCAAATTTGGTGTGATTTTGTTCATTGGTTCTTTTGTTTTTAGGGTACTCATTACGCACAGAACATTTATATATATATATATATAGAGAGAGAGAGAGAGAGAGAGAGAGAGAGAGAGAGAGAGATTATATTATATTATATTATATTATATTATATTATATTATATTATATTATATTATATTATATTATATTATATTATTAGCATAGCACATTGGATAAGGTGTAACTGTCCCCTGCCCCCCTCTCTCTTCACTCTGTTTAAATATATTTATATGGTTACTAGCTGTCCCCTGCCATGTGTTGCTGTGGCCCAATCTGGTGATCTGGAAAATAAATGAGAAGGTGTTGGTTTCTAATATATGTAATGTCTTTATGTTTGAGGGTAAACAGTATTTCTTGCTGTTTCTTTGTCAGTGTTGATACGGAGATTGTCTGGTTTGCCTCCTCTGGAACATCCAACATATCATTGTCTCTCTTTAGGGGTTTCTTTCAAATCTATGATACTATATCTCTCTCTGTGTGTGAATCATATATCTCTAGATTACTGCAACGCACTCTAGATTACTGCAACGCACTCTACGTGGGGTTGCCTTTGAAGACTGTTCGGAAACTTCAATTAGTCCAGCAGGAGGCAGCCAGATTGCTCACTGGAGCGTTATACAGGGAGCATACGACCCCCCTGTTGTGTCAGCTCCACTGGCTGCCGATCCACTTCCGAGCACAATTCAAAGTGCTGGTTTTGACCTACAAAACCCTATCTGGTTCTGGCCCAGCGTATCTGTCTGAACGCATCTCCCTTTACGTCCCATCTCGGAGTCTGAGATCCTCTGGGGAGGTCCTGCTCTTGACCCCGCCTCTGTCACAAGTGAGATTGGCGGGGACGAGGAGCAGAGCCTTCTCAGTGGTGGCCCCTCACCTATGGAATTCACTCCCCGGAGAGATCAGATCAGCAACATCCCTCCTTTCCTTCAGAAAGAAATTAAAAACATGGATGTGGGACCAGGCGTTTGGGCAATCTGGCAGATGAATAAGGGACTGTGACAATGGATAGGAACTGGACAAGGTGGAACGAAAGATGAACTCTGAGTGGCGAACGCTGTGTCTGAGATTGGCTATTGATAATAATGCTCTTTGATTGGAGGTGAACCCAAGGACTGATGGCTCTTGTCTTCCCTGTTTCCTCAGATGGCGGGTCTCTTCCTGCCCAGCCGCGTCCAGTGGGTCGGGTGTCAGGGCAGCCGGGCAGAGCTGAGGGGCTACCCCTGCTCCTTCTGGACCCTCTTCCACGTGCTGACGGTGCAGGCGGCTGCTCGGCCCAACGCCTTGCTCAACACGGGTAAGAGAGGCCGCCCGAGGCTCTGTTCGCGTTAATCCGGGAGATCTGTTTACATAGGGATCTCGTCTCCCCTTGGAAACCCCACACGCTTTCAGAGACCGCGCTTGCAGTCCCCCAGTCGGGGAAAGTCATAGCCTTGTGAACCCCTTTGCGTAAAGTGGGATATACATATAATACTATTACTGCTACAACTGCTAATAATAAATAATAATAATAATAATAATAATAATAATAATAATAATAATAGAAGAAGAAAGGTTGATGTGAAAATAATACGAGGAAGAAGAAAAAGAAAGGAAAGTGGGATGTAAATAATAATAATAATAATAATAATAATAATAATAATAATAATAATAGAGTAGTAATAATAGTAATAAGAGGGGGAAGTGGGATGTAAATATACCGCTGCTACTACTAATAATAATAATAGAGGAAAGATTAATGTAAAATAAGAAGAGAAAGAAGACAGGAAAGCAGGATGTAAATAATAATAATAATAATAATAATAATAATAATAATAATAATAAACAGGATGTAATAATAATAAGAGGAAAGTGGGATGTACATATAAGGCTACTGCTATGAATAATAATAGAGAAAAGATGAACGAAAAAATAAGAAGAAGAGAAAGAAGTAGAAGGGGGGAAAGCGGGATGTAAATAATAATAATAATAATAATAATAATAATAATAATAATAATAGAGGAAAAATGGATGTAAAAATAAGAAGAGAAAGAAGAAGAAAGAAAAGTGGGATGTAAATAATAATAATAATAATAATAATAATAATAATAATAGAGGAAAAATGGATGTAAAAATAAGAGAAAGAAGAAGAAAGAAAAGTGGGATGTAAATAATAATAATAATAATAATAATAATAATAATAGAGGAAAGATGGATGTAAAAATAAGAAGAGAAAGATGAAAGGAAAGCGGGATGTTGATGATGATGATGATGATGATGATGATAATGGAAAGGTGGATGTAAAAAGAAGGAGAGAAAAAAGAAAGAGGAAAGCGGGATGTAAATAATAATAATAATAATAATAATAATGGAAAGATGGATGTAAAAATAAGGAGAGAAGGAAGGAAAGTGGGATGTAAATAATAATGATGATGATGGAAAGATAGATGTAAAAATAAGGAGAAGAAAGGAAATTGGGATGTTAATAATAATAGTAATAATAATAGTAATAATAATAATAATAATAATAATAATAATAATAGAGGAAAGATGGATGTAAAAATTAGAGAAAGAAGAAGAAAGGAAAGCAGGATGTTAATAATAATAATAATAATAATAATATTAATAATAATAATAATAATAATAATAATGGAAAGATAGAGGTAAAAATAAGGAGGGAAGAAGAAGAAAGAAAAGTGGGATGTTAATAATAATAATAATAATAATAATAATAATAATAATAGTGGAAAGATGGATGTAAAAATAAGGAGGGAAGAAAGGAAAGTGGGATGTAAATAATAATAATAATAATATAGGAAAGCAAGATGTAATAAGAATACTAAGAGAGGAAAGCGGGATGGAAGGAGAAGAAGAGACGAAAGCAGAATGTAATATGATAATAAGGAAAGCAGGGTGTAAAAACGAAGAAGAGAGGAAAGCAGGATGGAAGAAGGAGAAGAAGGGAGGAAAAGAGGATGCAATAATAATAATAATAATAATAATAGAAGAAATCAGGATGTACTCATGGTAAGAAAAGAAAGTGGGATGCAAAAAGAATAAAAGTAATAAGATCACGTGTCGGTCCCTACTGATTCTTTTCTGGAACAAATTGAACATTTAATTTCTGAGTTGTGACTTGGGTTTTGTGCGGCGCATTTCTTCGAGCCGAAGGAATTGGGTCATGGGGGCCGAGGCGGGGGTGGGGATTATGTCTTGGGAGGTCTCCCTCTCCTCCTTGCGCGCTGGGGCTGTTGTTTTCTCGTGTCAAATCCCATCCACTCCGAAGCCCCCTAATCCTCCCGGCCACAGGTGGGGTCTTAGGGGGGTCCTGGCCCTCTTTAGAGATTAGGGTTGCCCAGAAAGGCCAAGAGAAAGGAGGAGGGGATTACGTGGCGGGAAGAAGAAGGGGCAGCTGGGGATGATGGGAAAAACAAAGCCTTCCCGACAGATAACCATTCTCTGCTGAGAGATCTCCAGAGTTGGGCTTTCCAAGTGGATCAGTTCCTTGTTTCTTCTTCGGTTTGTTTGTTTGTTGTGGGTGCTGACATTGCATGTCTCCTGCCCCCCTCTGCAGGCCTGGAGGGCAACCCCCGGGGGGTCCTGGAGGTCATGCGGAAGTACGTTCGGGATTTCTTCGGCTGCCGAGCCTGCGCTAAACACTTCGAGGAGATGGCCGGGAGCTCCCTGGACACCGTGCGGACGCCCGAAGAGGCCGCCCTGTGGCTCTGGGAGAAGCACAACGAGGTCAACGCCCGGCTGGCAGGTAGCAGCAAGGGAGACACCACCCAATCCCTCCTGACAGAGGGCCCTCCCACCATAGCTCAGTGGCCAGAATATCAGAGAGAGACAAATCACAGATAGGAAAATACAATTGAGGTAGAATTGGAAGGAACCCCAAAGGCCATCCAGTCCCACCCCCTTTGGCCAGGCAGGCAGGCACCATCCAATCCCTCCCAACAGAGGGCCATGTAGCCATAATAGAGAGACAGAGAGAGAAGAGATCATAGATAGATATATGAGACACATACAGTATCTATCTTAATTATATCTATCTATCTATCTATCTATCTATCTATCTATCAGGCTTGGGCAATCCATGGTTCTAAATGGTTCTAAAGTACTTACAAAACTAAAGTTCTGGTGGTGAAAATTTCAGAACTCTAACAAAACTTTCAAAATTTGATTATTATTTCATTATTGGTGATTTTAATGACAGAACCAATTAGGAACTGCCATTTATTATGAAATTTTGAGAGTTTTGTTAGAGTTCTGAAATTTTCACCACCAGAACTTTAGTTTTGTAAGTACTTTAGAACCATTTGGAACCATGGATTGCCCAAGCCTACTATCTTATCTATCTATCTATCTATCTATCTATCAATGCTCTGTGCATAATGAGTACCTTAAAAACAAAAGAACCAATGAACGAAATCACACCAAATTTGGGAACAAAACGTCTCACCACACAAGGAGTGACCATCACTCAAAAATTATGATTTTGTCATTTGGGAGTTGTAGTTGCTGGGATTTATAGTTCACCTGCAATCAAAGAGCATTCTGAACTCCACTAACGATGGAATTGAACCAAACTTGGCACACAGTACCCCCATGACTAACAGAAAATACTGGAAGGGTTTGGTGGGCATTGACCTTGTGTTTTGGAGTTGTAGTTCACCTACATTCAGAGAGCACTGTGGACTCAAACAATGATGGATCTGGACCAAACTTGGCATGAATACTCAATATGCCCAAATATGAGCACAGATGGAGTTTGGGGAAAATATACCTTTACATTTGGGAGTTGTAGTTACTGGGATTTATAGTTCACCTACAATCAAGGAGCATTCTGAACCCCACCAACGACGGAATATATATAATGGTGATGCTAATACTCGCCCGCCTGCTAACCCAATGCTTTCTCTTGTTTACTCTTATCTATTCATCTATCTATCTATCTGTCTATCTATCTATCTATCTATCTATCTATTCATTTATCTATTAATCTATGTATCTGTACGTCTGTCTGTCTGTCTATCTATCTATCTATTGAGACCTGAAGGTAGGCCTCTCTTAGGTCCGTCATTCTATCATCTATCTATATCAATAATATAATAATTAGATGGATGGATGACTCAATCATGTGAGATTATCCTCCTCATACCAATAATAATGCTGAGTCAATGCCTTCCGTTGAGAGTTATCTCTTGCTTTCTCTATCTATTCATCAATCAGTCAATTTATGTATTCATCAGTATATTTATCTATACATCTATCTATCTATCTATCTATCTATCTATCTATCTATCTATCTATCTATCTATCTATCTATCTATCTATCTATCTATCGGGACCTGCAAGTAGGCCTTTCTTAGGTCCATCATTCCATCTTCTATCTATATCAATAATGCAATAATAATAATAATAATAATAATAATAATAATACTTTATTTATACCCCGCCACCATTTCCCCAGGAAACTCGGGGTGACTAACATGACGCCAAGTCCAACAATTAGAACAAATCAAAATAAAATAAATACAGCAAACAATAATATCAAATGAAACATAAACAAAGCAAATTAATACAAAATCAATACAGGAAATGAAATAAAATAATAAAAATAATTAGATGGACGGACAATTCAATCATGTGAGATCACCCTCATCATACCAATAATATAATGATGATGATGATAATACCGACAACAAAGCAAATTAATACAAAATCAATACAGGAAATGAAATAAGATAATAAAAATAATTAGATGGATGGACGACTCAGTCATGTGAGATCACACTCATCATACCAATTCTATAATGATGATGATAATACCGACAACAAAGCAAATTAATACAAAATCAATACAGGAAATGAAATAAAATAATAAAAATAATTAGATGGATGGACGACTCAGTCATGTGAGATCACGCTCATCATACCAATAATATAATGATAATACTCACCTGCCTGCTGACTCAATGCCTCCCATTGAGGGTGATCTCTTGCTTTCTCTCCACAGGGGATTTGACGGAAGACCCCAAATTCCCGAAGGTGCAGTGGCCATCTCCGGAGGCCTGTCCTTCCTGCCGCAAAGGCGGCGGCGGCGTCTCCCGGAAAGACCGGCTTCCTTCTTGGGACGAGGCCCAGGTCCTGCGTTTCTTGAGGCGGCACTACGGCAGCGGGAACGTTGAGTACAGATATGCGGAAAGCCGTCCGGAAGCGGAGAAGGGTCCGCTGGAAGAGGCGCAGGAGGACGAGAGGAAGCCAAAGGGCTCCTTCTTGGGCTTCTCCAGCCTCGACATGAGCCTCTGCATCGCTCTCTACGGCACCTCCTCCTTCTTCCTCATGCTCATGTTCTTCTTCTTCCGGATGCGCTCCAAGCGCCGGAAAGCCAGGCCCAGCCGACCCCACGTCTAGGAACCCCCCCCCCCGCTCTCTTTCCATATTTATGGCTCCCTGTTTCCCCCCCAAACGGTGCTGGCTTCTCCCATTCCGTCGTCTCCAAATGCACAAAAACGTGTCAACAAATGTCAAAACGTTCCTTATGTCTCTGGATCGTTGTGTCCGGATGGTGCTGGATTGCATGGGGTCCCTTAACGAAAGTTCGTATGTTTCCCGGATGTTAGTCGGCTCGTTTTGCTGCAGTTCGGGGCAGAGGACCCCCATGAAAGTGAAAATAAATGTGAATAAAGAAATCCCTATTTTTCTTCGTATGCTGCGAGTACATTTCTCTAGCAATTTGTGTTTACTATGATGATATTTATTTATATCCCGCTTTATTTCCTCCAAAGAGGACTCAGAAGTGGCTGTAGGTCTTCTGGCACAGCTCGATGATGGAGAATTGCAGTGGAGAGAGCCCAAAAGAGGAATTATTCTATTATGGGGAGAAAGGTGGGATAGAAATGAAGTTAACTGTAGTAGTAGTAGGAGTAGGAGTAATAATAAATATGGAGCCCCCAGTGGCGCAGTGGGTTAAACCCCTGTGCCGGCAGGACTGAAGACTGACAGGTCGCAGGTTCAAATCTGGGGAGAGGTGGATGAGCTCCCTCTATCAGCTCCAGCTCCTCATGCGGGGACATGAGAGAAGCCTCCCACAAGGATGATAAAAACATCAAATCATCCGGGTGTCCCCTGGGCAACGTCCTTGCAGACTGCCAATTCTCTCACAACAGAAGCGACTTGCAGTTTCTCAAGTCACTCCTGACACGACCATAATAATAATAATAAATATTATATATATTATATTAAAACGTTATGGAGAGAGGTGAGATAGAAATAAATAAATAATAATAATATATTTTAATAATATTTTAATGAAATGTTTAATAATATTTTAATGAAATATTATTAAAATAGTTACAGAAAATGAACACGTCAAACTCCTCTGGGACTTCAGAAATTCAGACAGAGTTTTGGAGCACAATAATAATAATAATAATAATAATAATAATCTTTATTTGTACCCCGCTATGACTTGGTGCGGCTTACATGAGGCCGAGCCCACAATACATCAATACAAGCAATAACAACAACAATACAAGCAAGTAAAATAAATCACATACACAAATAGCATAAACATTAACAATAGCACAACACACCTTTAAAATCTGTGGCTACTCCTGACCTCACAATCGTGTTAAAAAACAAAGTATGGATTGTCAATGTCGCAATCCCAGGTGACAGCAGGATTGAAGAGAAACAACTGGAAAAGCTGACACGATATGAGGATTTAAAGATCGAACTGCAAAGAATGTGGCACAAGCCAGTCAAGGGGGCCCCAGTGGTGATCGGCACACTGGGCGCAGTGCCTAAAGACCTTGGCCTGCACTTAAACACAATCGGCACTGACATCTGCCAGCTGCAGAAGGCCACCTTACTGGGATCTATGCATTATTCACCGATACATCACACAGTCCTAGACACTTGGGAAGGGTCCGACGTGTGATCCACTACAACAGCCAGCAGAGTGATCTTGTCTGCTTTGGACTCATCTTGTGTTTCAAATAATAATAATAATAATAATAATAATAATTTTTATTATATTAAAATTATATTATGGGGAGACATGTGGGATAGAAATGAAGATTATATATATATATATATATATGTGTGTGTGTGTGTGTGTGTGTGTGTTTTATTAAATTATGAGGAGAAAGAGGAAGTGGGTGGGGTCATGCAAATCCCACACCAATTGAGAGAGAGTAAGAAACACTGGAATGCTTATGGCAAATGAACCACAGAAAATTTAGGAACCTGAATGAAAGTCTTCACTTGGGTGGTGGGCACTATGGCGTTTGTGGAGGACATTGGCAGGGTTCTTGGACATGTTCATGGCACTCACTATAACCTGCAGGGTCATTGGAGGGAGGGTCATTGGTGTCTCCAGAGTACTGGGAGTTAATAATAATAATAATAATAATAATAATAATAATAAACCTTTATGTATACCCTGCTACCATCTCCCGCAGGACTCGGTGCGGCTTACAAGAGGCTGAGCCCAAATACATCAGAAACAAAAAACACAACAACAATACAACAATAAATAACTCATAGCAAAGCAAAACAATAACAAAAATCACGACGCATTTAAAAACCTGTGGCAGGGACACCCCAGCCACACACACACACATTTTCACTTTTATTATGTGTATGTTCGTGTGTTGGCCTGGTAGGTGCCTTGTGTCAAAATTTGGTATCCATTCACCCAGTGGTTTTTGAGTTATGTGTATACACACTCACACACATAACTCCGAAACCACTGGGTGAATTGATACCAAATTTGGACACAAGGCACCTACCAGGCCAACAAGTGACCATTACTCATAAAAACACTGGAAAACACAGCGGAAGGAACTTTAAAAGCCAAAAAATATTACAACACATGCGCATAACCACATATATACATATAAATATACACATGCAAAACACTTATACACAGTCTGGGCCACAACAACGCTTGGCAGGGGACAGCTAGTATATAAATAAAAATGTCATGTTCGTTTGTGGGATTAACATAACTAAAAAACCACGCATAAAAACACTGAAAAACAGAGCAGAAGAGACTTGAAAAGCCAAAAAAAATAAAAAAATACATTACAACATGTGCAAAATCACATATACATATACACAAACACACATATATACACAAATATATACACACAACGCACATATACACATTGAGCCACAGCAATGCGTGGCAGGGGGTGGCTAGTGTGTGTGTGTGTGTGTGTGTGTGTGTATACACACATACATATACACACCCTAACAACCTTGTGGTTCTTTGCTCTCTGGTGCCACCTGGTGCCTCTTTAAGAGGTTTCCCATCTACTGTATTTCCCCTAAAATAAGACCGTGGTTATCTATGGATTTGTGCTCCAATAGATGCATTAGGACTTATTTTCAGGGGCTGTTTTATTTTATTTTCATGCACAACAGTCTACATTGACTCCTGTACAAAATCTCTCCTCCAAAGACTGAAACTACAAGAGAGGAGATTCCACCTGAACATGAGGAAGAACTTCCTGACTGTGAGAGCTGTTCAGCAGTGGAACTCTCTGCCCCGGAGTGTGGTGGAGGCTCCTTCTTTGGAAGCTTTGAAACAGGAGCTGGATGGTCATCTGTCAGGGGTGATTTGAATGCAATATTCCTGCTTCTTGGCAGAAAGCGGTTGGACTGGATGATGGCCCAGGAGGTCTCTTCCAACTCTTTGATTCTAGGATTCTATGAATGTCAACAATATTATTTATTCATATTTAATTATATACTATTAACATTATTTCAGAACCCAATAGGTCCGCTGTATGTTGCAGCCGAGGTACTAAATGCCTGGGATCGAGATCGGGGCTTATTCTGGGGATAGGGCTTATACAATCAGCGTTATGCTAGGGCTTATTTCCCGGTTAGGTCTTATTTTTGGGTAGGAAATAGGGATCCTCAAACCCCTTAAGCAGAGGGCCAGTTCAGGGTCCCTCAAGACTGTTAGTAGTAGTTGTGGTTGTTGTTGTTGTTGTTGTTGTTGTGTGCCTTCAAAGCACACAACAGAATCAAGACAACCCTAAGATCACAGAGTTTTCTGGTTACAGACTCTTTCTTTCTTTCTTTCTCTCTTTCTTTCTTTCTTTCTTTCCTTCTTTGTTTTCCCCCTCCTCCTTCTTCCCTCTGTTTCCTTCTCTCCCTATTTTTCTACCTCTCTTTTTCCTACCCCTTTCTTTTCCTTTCTTCCCCCCCCCCCGCCTTTTTCCTTTTCCTTTTCCCTCTCTCCCTCTTGTCTTTTTCCTTTTCTCCTTCCCTCCCTCTTTTCCTATCTCCCTTTTTTTATTTCCCTTCCCCTCCTTCCACCTTTTTCCTCCCTCCTTCTTTTTCCTTTCCTTTCTTGCCTCTCTCTTTCCCATCCTCCCTCCTCTTTTCTTCCTTCCTTCCTCCTTCCCTTCCTTTTTTCTTTCTTTCCTCCTATCCTATCTTTCCTTCCCTCCCGCTCTATTTTTCTACCTTCCCTCTTCCCTCCCTCTTTTTCTACTGTTCTTTCTTTCCTTTTCCTTCCTCTTCCCCCTTCTCTTTTTCCTTTTTCTCCTTCCCCTTCCCTCTTTTTCCCACCTCTTTTTCTTTCCCCCTCCGTCTTCACTTTCTTTTTCCCTTCACACTCTTTTTCCTTCCTTTTTTCCCTCCTCCTTCCCTCCCTATTTTTCTGTTTTTCTCCCTCCCTCCTTCCTTTCCTCTCTTTTTCCTGTCTTTATTTCTCCTTCTGTTTTTTTCTTCCGCTTTCCCTCCCTCCCTCCCTTTCTCTTCTCCCTCCTTCCTTTTTTCCCCTACCGCTCATTTACTTTCTCTCCGTCCCGTTCCCTCCCTTTTCCTTCTTCTTCTCTTCCCTTCTTTTTCCTTTTTCCTTCCTTTCTCTCTCCTTCTCCCTCTTTGTCTGTCTTTCCTTCTTTCTTCCCTCCTCCTATTTTTCATACCTCCCTTTCTTCCTTCCTTCCTCCCTCTTTTCTTTCTTTCCTTCCTTTTTCCTTCCTTCCCTTTCCCTCCTTCTTTCTTTTCTCCTCTCCTTCCTTCCTTCCTTTCTTCCTTCCTTCCCTCCTCTCTTTTTTTCTTTCTCCTCTTTCTCCCCCTTCCCTCTCTTTTCTTCTTCCTCCTTCTCTCCCTCTCCTCCTCCCTTCTCCCTTTTTCCCTTCTTTTTACTCCCCCACTTTTTCCTTTTCTACCTTCCTCCTTCCCTTTCTTTTCCTACCTTCTTTTCTCCCTTTTCTCCCTTACTCCCCTCCTTCTTCCATCTCGTTCCTCCTCCCTTCCCTCCCTTCCTATTTTTATCCTTCCCTCCTTCCTTCCTTCCCTACCTCTTTCTTTCCCTCTCCTCTCTATTTCCTTTTCTCCCTTTCCTTCCTTCCCTCTTTCTTCCTTCTTTCTTTTTCTTTCTTTCCCCTCCCTCCATCTCTCCCTTTTTCCTTTTCTCCCTCCCTCCTTCTCTCTTTCCTTCTCCCTTCCCTCTTTTTCTTTCTTTCCCTTCTTTCCCCTTCTCTCTCTTTTTCTTTTGTCCTCTTTCCCTCCCTCCATCTCTTTTCCCTTTTCTCCCTCCCTCATTCCCTCTCTTTCCTCCTCCCTCTCTTTCCTCCTCCCTTCCCTCCCTATTTTTCTCTTTCCTCTTTCCTTTCCTCTTCCCTCTCTCTTTCTTTTTATTTCCCCTTCCCTCTCTTTTTCCTTCCTTCCTTCTTTCCTCCCTCTTTTTCCTTTTCTACTTCTCTCCTTCCCTTTCTTTTCCTGCCTTCTTTCCACCTCCTCCTTCCTGTTTTCTTCCTTACTCCCCTCCTCCCCTCTCTTTCCTCTCTCCTTCCTTCCCTCTTTCCTCCCTCTCTTTGTTTCTTT